GGCTGTCAGGTACCATCTTTATTTTTGTAGTTTTATCCTTAGCATTTGGAACAGTGCCTGCCTACTAGGTCTTTATGAAATAGCTACTGACTATTGACTATGATTCTTTGTACAGGAGCATAAACATCAAATAGACATTAAATCCCTCTTCCTCATCTCTCTTATTTTTCCTGGATAGTGTTCTTAGTTCCTCCAGCTGTCTGCCTTGGCCCTCAAAAGTACCAAGTGACACTCTTATTTACACCTTCTATGCATTCCTTTAAAATCTAAGTTGGTTAATAAGTTCCTGTCAATCTTTGTTGGGCTCTTTTCTTCCCCTTCTCAGAATTATATTTTTCTTTTTGTTTTCCAAAATTCATTCTTAAATGTTTCCCATCTCTCCTGGGCTGACTTCTGTAGAAATTTGGTGCGGGACATCCCACCTCTCTTTCTCTGAGTGCTCTGCAATCTGGTTCTCCAAAAATCTAAGTCACAATTTTCTACTTTCCTTCTAATCTTGGTTGCATTGGCTTTGTGCACAAACTTTTCAATTTAATGTAATCAAAGTTATCCATTTTGCTTTTCGTAATGTTCTCTATGTCCTGTTTGGTCATGGATTCTTCTGTTCTCCATAAATTTGATAGGTAATCTATTCCTTGCTCTCCCAGTTTGCTTACAGGATCAGCCTTTCTCTCTAAATCATGAACCCATTTTGACTTTATTTTGGCATATGGTGTGAGATTTTGACCTATGCCTAGTTTCTGCCATACTCTTTTCCAGTTTTCCCAGGAGTTTTTGTCAAAGAGTGAGATCTTATCCCAGAAGGTGGGGTCTTTGGGTTTATGAAATAACTGATTACTATAATCATTGGCTTCTGTGTCTTGCCTACTCAACCTATTCCACTGATCCACCACTCTGTTTCTTAGCCAGTACCAGGCACTTTGGATGATTGCTGCTTTATGATACAATTTAAGATGTGGAATGGCTAGGCCACTTTCCCCTGCATTTCTTTTCCTTAGTTGCCTTGATATACTAGACCTTTCGTTCTTCCAAGTGAATCTTGTTATTATTTTTTCTAATTATATCAAATAACTTTGTGGTCATTTGATTGGTATGGCACTGAATAAGTAAATTAGCTTAGGTAGAATTCCCATTTTTATTAGATTAGCTTGGCCTACACATGAGCAACTGATATTTTTCCAGTGATTTAGATCTGACTTTATTTGTGTGAAAAGTGTTTTGTAATGGTGTTCAGAGTTTCTGGGTTTGTTTTGGGAGGTAGACTCCTAAATATTTTCTAATGTCTACAGTAACTTTAAATGGAATTACCCTTTCTATCTCTTGTTGTTGGGCTTTGTTGGTAATGCCAATGATATCTATGGGATTCTTTTATAGCCTGCAACTTTGCTAAAGTTGTTTATTATTTCAAGTAGTTTTTCACTTGCTTCTCTAGGGTTCTCTAAGTATATCATCATATCATCTGCAAAGAGTGATAGCTTTGTTTCTTCCTTGCCTATTCTAATACCTTCAATTTCTTTTTCTTCTCTTATTGCTAATGTTTCCAGTATGACATAGAACAACAGTGGTGATAATGGACATCCTTGTTTCACCCCCAAATCTTATTGGAAATGCTTCTAGCTTGTCTCCATTACATATGATGCTTGCTGAAGGTTTTAGGTAGATGCTATTGATTATTTGAAGGAAGACTACATTTACTCCTATGCTCTCTAGTGTTTTTATTAGGAATGGGTGTTGTATTCTGTCAAAAGCTTTATCTGCATCTATTGAGATGATCATGTGGTTTCTGTTAGTTTTGGTGTTGAAATGATCAATTATGCTGATAGTTTTCCTAATATTGAACCAGCCCTGCATTTCTGGTAGAAATCCTACCTGGTCACAGTGTATTACTGTTGTGATAAGAGGCTGTAATCTATTTGCTAATTTGTATTGAAATTTTTTGCATCTGTATTCATTAGAGAAACTGGTCTATCATTTTCTTTGTCTGTTTTGACTCTTGCCAGTTTAGGTATCAACACCATATTTGTATCATAAAAAAAAATTGGTAAGACTCCTTCTCCACCTGTTTTCCCAAGTAGTCTATGTAGTACTGGAATTACTTGTTCTTTAAATGTTTGATAGAATTCCCTTTTAAATCCATCAATCCCTGGAGACTTTTTCGTAGGGAGTTCATCAATGGCTTGTTCAATTTCTTTTTCTGAGATGGGGTTATGTAAGTATTTTACTTCCTCTTCTGTTAATCTGGGCAATTTATATTTTGTAAATATGTATCCATTTTACTGTCAAATTTATTGGCCTGCAGTTTAAAATTGTTTTAATTTCCTCTTCCTTGATGGTGGATTCACCTGTTTCATTTGTTCATTCATCCATCAGGCAATTTGGTTTTCTTCTTTATTTTTGTAAATGAAATTAACCAAAGGTTTATCTATTTTACTGGTTTTTTCATAAAACTCTTAGTTTCATAAAACTCAGCTCTTAGTTTTATGTATAATTCAATAGTTTTCTTAATTTCAATTTTATTGATTTTTCCTTTGGTTTTCAATATTTCTAATTTGGTGTTAAATTGAGGATTTTTAATTGCTTCTTTTTGTAGTTTTTTTAGTTGTATGCCCAATTCATTGATCTGCTCTTTTTCTATTTTATTTATGTAAGCATTTAGAGATATAAAACTTCCCTTAAGGACTGCTTTTGCTGCATCTCATAAGTTTTCGTATGTTGTCTCATTACTGTCATTTTCTTGAATGAATTTATTGATTGTTTCTATGATTTGTTGTTTGACCCAATCATTTTTTAGGATTAGATTATTTAGTTTCCAGTTATTTTTTAGTCTATCTTTCCATGGCCCTTTATTACATATAATTTTTATTCCATCATGATCTGAAAAGGATGCATTTAATATTCTGCCTTTCTGCATTGGTTGGTTTATGCCCAGTACATGGTTGATTTTTGTGTATGTGCCATGTACTGCCAAGAAAAAAGCATATTCCTTTCTATGCCCATTCAAGTTTCTCCAGAGATCTATCATACCTACCTTTTCAAATATTCTCTTCACCTCCTTAACTTCTTTCTTGTTTATTTTGTGGTTAGATTTATCTAGTACAGAGTGGGGAGGTTGAGGTCCCTCACTAGTATAGTTTTGCTGTCTATTTCTTCTTATAACTCCCTGAACTTCTCCTCTAAGAATGTGGATGCTATACCATTTGGTGCATATATGTTTAGTAATGATATGACTTTATTGTCTGTGGTAGCTTTTAGCAGGATGTAGTTTATTCCTTAATTCTTTTGATAAGACCTATTTTTATTTTTGCTTTCTCTGACATCAGGATTGCTACACTGCTTTTTTCCCCTTCAGCTGAAGCATAATATATTCTGCTCCAGCCTTTTACCTTTGCCCTGTGTGTGGCACTCTTTTTTAAATGTCTTTCCTGTAAACAACAGACTGTAGGATGATGGTTTTGAATCCCTTCTGTTATCCGCTTCTGATTTATGGGAGATTTCATCCCATTCACATTCACAGTTATGATCACTATCTTTGTCTTTCTCTCCATCCTTCCCCTCCCTCCCGTTGATGCTTTTCTTTCTCCTTTTCTCTCCTCACTAGTGTTTTGCTTTGGACCACTGCCTCCCTCAGTCCCTCCTCCATTCTATTAGCCCCTTCCCTTTTCTTCCCTTTTCCTCTTAGTACTTTTTCCCTCCCTTCTATACCCCCTCCCTTTTCATTGCCCTTTTCCCTCCTACTGCCTATAGGGCAAGTTAGATTTCTATACCTAACTGATTATGTTATTCCCTTCTTGAGCCAAATCTGTGGAGAGTAAGGTTCAAACAGTTCTTATATCCCTCCCTTCTTTCCCTCTGCTGTAACAGGTTTTTGTGTCTTACAATGTAATTTACCTTGTCTGCCTCCTTTCCTTTTTTCTCCATACATTTTCTTAGATCAGATTAATCCACTTACTTGGATTCATTTAACCCACTTGATTAGATCTTTTATTTTATCATTACATCAAAGTCAACTTATATCTGCCCCCTTTATATATATCTCTTTGACATGGTAGAATAACGATACACTTCTCAAGAGGTACAAGTGTCATCTGCCCTGGTAGGGATGTCAACAGTTTGCCCTTATTTACAAAATATTGTATCTTTCTGTCCCATTTACATTTTTATGTCCCTCTTGAGTCTTGCATTTGAAGATCAGATTTTCTGTTGAGCTTTTGTCTTTTAATGAGGAAGGTTTGGATGTGCTGTATTTCCATGAATAGCCATCTCCTTCCCTGAAAGATCATGCTCATTTTCACAGGGTAGTTGATCCTTGGTTGGTAATCCCAGCTCCTTTGCCTCATGGAATATCATGTTCCACGCCCTGTGGTCTTTTCATGTAGAAGCTGCAAGTAATCCTGACTGCTGTGGTTCCATGATATTTCAATTGTTTCTTTCTGGCTGCTTGCAGTATTTTCTCTCTGACCTGGTAATTGCAGAATTTGGCTGCTATATTCCTTGGCGTTTTCAATTTGAGATCTCTTTCAGGAGGTGATCAAGCTATGGCTATTTTGCCCTCTGGTTCTAGGACCACAGGGCAGTCCAAGTGGTCTGGAGAGTATTCCAATGCCAATATCACATCTGTTTCTCAGGTCAGTAAACTTCTCCACATGCTCTCCTCCATGTGTCTCATTCCATTTACAGATATCCTGATACTAATATATATTCTTCATATACAGTAGTATTTGTTCTCTCCCTCCATCTTTATCTGTCATATTTCTTTTAAAGAAGATATACCCTTACAAAGGTAGCTACTTTGCCCTCTTGGGTCTAATCTTACCAAGTCTCAAATATCCCTATGGGGTCAAATTTGCTTCTTCATATTGCACTCTCTAGTTCATCTTGATTGTTACCCATATTTTGTTCATTTGTGTCCAGATATCTGAAACCATGAGCTTTATTTGTGGCTCGTGTCTTGGATGATTTCCTATAAAATCCTAAATGTCTTGTTATTCTTTTTATACCAGCCATGTAGAGCATCCTATGAAGACAGCTGGGATGCTCTGCAGCTTGTCTGCAGCCCCGGTGACCCTCGGGAATTCCTCGCAAATTTTGTGCAGCTGGGAGAAGGGTCAACGGCAATAGCCGACCAAGGCACAGTCACGGACACAGAAAAAAGAGTGGCCATCAAAAGAATGGACATAACGCGACAACAGAAGCCTCAGCTACTTTTGAATGAGATAAATCATGTGCCCTGAGCACTTTTCTATTGCTTGATGAAAGGGGGATTGGCCCTGGAAGATGTTTTTCAAGTGATTGGTCTAGTTGGTAAGAGCCCTGTGATCATTCCGATGTTCAGGTTGACTGATTTTAGAAGCTATGTTCAATGAAGCCAGAAAAGGGGAGGAGAAGATCAATATTCTTAGTCTTCTTTTGGCACCAATGTCTGGGGAACACAAAAAAATCATGCACATTCTCTAATTAAACCTCATAGTATCTGATGGTGGAGTCTCAGGGAAGGAGTTGAGAGAACAAGTGTATTAGGAGTGGAAGCACAGGATTGGGTCGCTCAGGACATGGGTCACCAGGTCATAGATTCTGATCTAGAAGAGGCCTCAGAGCATCTAATCCAGCCCCCTTGTTTTAAAGGGGAGGAAACTGAAGCCCAGAGAAGTTTAGGGCTTTCTCCCAGATCACAAGGGTAGTAAATTAGTAGGGTCAGGATTCAAACTAAGATTGCCTGATTCCAAATACAGCTATCTATCCACTACACCAAATGCCCGCTTTGCTTCTAATACCTGAGTGACTGTGAGTTATTTACTTTTTCCTTTCTGGGTCTCCATTTTCTTATCAAACAGAATCAAGGGGCCAGACTAGATATGCTCTAAAGTTTCTTCCATCTCTAAATCTTATAATTCTATGAAAGAATACTCTTCTTTATCACTAAGAAAACAGATTCCTTAGCAGTCAAATCACTTGTCCACTCTAATGGGAAATTGATGATGTTGAGCGCTGGGTATTTGAGCAGTTTCTGGAAGGTAGTTCTTTGACAGATACACTCCTGCTAAGTCAACTTGTTTACTGTTTAGAGGTCATTCAAAGACCCTGGTTAGTTAACTTATCTTTTTCCCATCAGATACAGTGTCTTGACAATTGATATGTTCACATTAAGTCATGTTTACCAATGCCCTATCTAGAGACATGTTATTATCAGTGAAAGTATTAGCTGAAGTCCTAATGGCAATAATGACATTTCTAAAATCTACATTACCCAACTCCCAGAAGGGAGTGACCTCTTTACCCTCATTTTTTCTCTCAAAAATTTTACCCAACTCCCAGAAGGGAGTGACCTCTTTACCCTCATTTTTTCTCTCAAAAATTTCTTACACATTAATGGATCAAGAACCAGAAGCTGTAAAATTATGGACAGCCATGAAGCTAAATACGTAACTTTCCACTTTAAAAGAAATCGATGGAAACTGATTTGATTCTTTAAGAATGCTTTCCATGTAGCATTGCCACCTACAGTTTCTCTGAGGAAGGATCAGGTGCACCACTTGCCTGATGTGTTGCTCAACTGAATTGCTATTTTTATAAGTACCCATATATACTTTTATAAATAGTACGATAAGTGTGGTGGTCTGACTTTGTCTTATGAACCATCCCAAGATATTTGCTGGATCACATCTTCTTCTGCCTTTAATCCAATGGCCCCAAATCCCATGGTCCTTTCAAACTGATGAAACACTTGTCCAGCTATTATAAGGATTTTTTTTCAAAAGGAAATTCCTTCCTATTGAGTTTATTGTGTTAATTGATTAGGGTGAGGAGAATAGAATCCCACTCTTACACACTTGTAAGTTTTAAAAGTCTAATAGTGAGAAGAACTGTCTCCAGAGGAAAAAAATAGAATTTTAACTTCTCATGCAAACAAGCATGTGAAGAATTTGTGATTTTCTTAGTATGTGACTCCAGGACTCCCATTTATGACTTAGTGGATAAGTCCTAGAGAATCTCTTGATACATGCAGAGGTTTTTCACTTGCCCAAGGGGACTCAGCTAGTAGATATGAGAGGCAGGCTGTTAACCCAGGTCTTCCTGGCCCTGGATCCACAACCAGATTTGTCATTCCAGACCCTCTCTTTACTAACTGTCAGGTCATTTCCTTTTCTTTTGTATAGGTTGCTATGAGCAATTACCATCATGAAAACATGGTTGAAATGTACAATCCTCCTTATCTTGTTGGAGATGAGCTGTGGGTTTTAATGGATCTTTTAGAAGGTGGGGCCTTAAAGAAATTGTAACTCACATGAGGCAAGTTTATTTAGTAACTAGAGATCCCTGGGAGACTCTTTTTTTCATACACTTGACTTTCCCTCACAGGTGGTAACCCAGTGACACATGTGATCATTAGATCAACCCTGTTAAGATCTCCATTTAAGTCTAAGAAATTCATAGGTAGGCAATGCATCTTTCCATCACAGAACACTCCCCATACAGTAGACAGGGAATAAGCCAACATTCAAATATCTATTGAATTGAAGTTCACATGCCCTTCCACATGAGAAATGCTCCGTGATAAACAGTGTAAGACTGAATCATGTTCTTTACTTTTTAATCAATCAGTCCACATATATTCATTTATTACATGCTTTCTCTGTGCTATGAACTTCACTAAGTGGCTGGGATATCAAGAGAGACAAAAACAGTCCCTGCCCTCCAGGAGATATCACTTCAATCAGGGAAACAACACAGAAATAAATAGCTCTGTGAAAGATATATACAGAGTAGCTGGTAGATACTTGGAGCAGAAGGCTCTAGAAGCTTGGCGACCAAGAGTAGCTTCTTCTCTAAAGTAGTATTTGGGCCACCTTCTTTCAAGAAGCCAGCAGAACTAGGAGGCAGAAGTCAGAAAGGAGAAGTATTCCAAGCATGTAGGAAGTACATTAATACTGCATGCTACAGGAAATTGAAGAGAGGGGCAAGACAAGAGATATTTTCAAATTTGTTTCAAATGAAATATAGCAGTTATAAGACCAACCATAGAATATCATTTTGTTACATATAAGAAGACAGAAATATACATCTGCTTTGTTTGAAAACAGTCTTGAAAGAGAAAGTAGTACCTTCCATCCAGTTGCTTCTGCCTCTTGCCTCCCTACAAGTTCCATAAATGAAGGTAGAGGCAGGAGAGTAAGCCTCAGTGAGGAGAAGGTAGGGAAGCTTTGTGAAAGTACAATTATGTTGGTAGATGACTGATGAAGCACAAAAGGATGGACTGGCCCCATGTTGTTCCCCAGAAGTTTTTCCAGTTGGTAGCTTCCAGCCACAAAATGGAGGCCACTGAAGGGGGCTGGGGAGGGAATGAAGATCTCCACCAATTCTCTCTGCAGCTTCAGCTGGTAGGATATTTTCTCCATGGGAGCCCTAGCACAGGACTAGGTACATACAGGCAAATCTCCTCCTTCCTGAGGCAATGCACTCTGCAGGTTCCTGAGAACACAGAAACCTGCAAATCCTAGACTTTACCAGATTCTAAAGATGATAGTCCGAAGGGAAATTTGTTCATGTGGCAACATGTGAGGAAAGGCTCTCCAAATTTCTTTCGAAATGAAACTTCTTGCTTCCTTAAAAAGTTTTCAATTTTGAGGATGAAATCAGGGGAAGGATCCTAATTGGCTGCTCAGCTCTCTCTTCCTCCTCCTGATAGAACAGAGTGGACCTATCTTTTGGTCTTCTCCTGATTTTTCTTTTAGCAGGTACAGAGAAGTGGGACTGGGGCACCAGGATTGAAGAGGAAGCAGTTGAGAAACTGTCAGGCTGTGTCTGGAATATACCAAATCTTAAACTATAACTAAGCAAATTTGGGAAGTTTCTACCTTTAGAATTTTGATCAATGATGATAAATTGTTTGGTTAGATGAAATAAATTTCATTCTCATTCCTCTGAATTAAATCTTGATTAGCATACAAAGCTTTCTAGAAATCAATAATAATAATACTGTCAACTTCAGCTTGCTCTGTATAGTTCAAATTCATTGAGTTAGAGATCAGTCTCAGAACGTTTTAGCAGATGAAGCCTGAATTTGAGAGGGATGATTTCTCAAAGGGTGAGGAACAATGTAATGTAGCCAGTTATTATTATAGACCCCTGCAGACTTTGATGGTCTGCTTGGAACAAAATACAATCCCTTAAGTTGGAGAAAAATGCAATAGAAGGAAGATAAGGATACTTTCTATTCTAATCATTTAAGACACATTTCGCTGATGTCAACATAAATGAATTCCAAAATAAAAAGTGGCTTTTCCTTCTGGGTAATTACCATAACTAGGGAAAGAAATTATAGCTTTGTGTGCCTTTGTTAGATGTCAACACTGGCAATTAGACATTGCTAGGTCAGACAAAGTCACCAACATGTTCACAAGAAAGTAATGGAGATGGAGACTTTGGTCCATTCTGCTTCCGTTCCCCCTTCCTTTGCCTTGCCTTCCCTTCCTTTCCCTAACTCCTCTTTATATCATTTGCTTTGTCCAAGAAGAATCTCTAGTATCTTTTGAATGAACCTAATTAAGTGCCTATACAATCTTATATAGAAAGGAACATGGTCTAAAGAAGCTCTCAACCTGTCCATTTGATTTTACTTGAAACTTATCCTTAATCCTTTTAAGTTGCTTTTTAAATACGATTTCTGTTTTTAGAATGAATGAAGAACAAATAGCCATAGTGTGCTTATCTGCCCTGAGGGCTCTTTGGTATCTACACAACCAAGGGATTATTCATAGAGACATCAAGAGTGACTGCATCCTCCTCACAAGTGATGGCAGGGTAAGATATTAGGATTTTCCTTGTGATTGGTAAAAGCACAGAATAAAATCTGATCATCAGCTGTAGACATCAGCCTCGAGGACAGGTTTCCTGGAGATACTGGTTCCTCTAGACTATGAACTTCTCAACTTGGTGTCTCTGCTGCCTCCCCTTGGCACATGCATTATGAAGAAGGACATCATGGGCTATGGTCACAATAATGAAAATGTCATCCAATCCATCACACCTTAAGCTTGAGCCAAAATTTCAATTGCATTTCTTTGCTTGAACAGTGACTACAGAAACTCAGGGAGTGTAGAAACTTCATTTTCCCCTTACTGCTTTAACTCTAAAGAAAATTAGCTGTCCTCCACACTTATGAATTAAAATATCTCTTGTGCTTCTATTCCAAATTTAATTGAAGGTATCACCTATTTGAACCATTATCTGGTTGGGCTCTCCAACGTATTGAAACTCAGCTATTGTTGGCATTTCCATAGAGGCTACCTGCTTGGACAAGTAGTCAAGGCAGCCATTTCATACATTCCTTCAATGCATCAGCTGCTTTACACTTTAGAAGATTACTATAGAGAAGTGAAGGAAGAAAAGCTGAACCCTGAAAGGAAATTTGGATTAGCAGAATGAATGTAAAATGAAATCTAACCAAGATGGCCTACTTGACCCATCTCCCTGCCATTGAGGGCCATGACACCAATGATAAATGGAAAAAAATATCTCCTAGACATTTTTTCCCCAAAGGTAGCACAGTCATAATTGTCCAGGTATCTTGGCATTAGATCAGCCTTCTTTCAGAAATGATTCAGAGTCGAGGTAAAATCTAGAGACCTAAGAACACTGTGTTCATTGAATGGCCTTCGGATGCCCTTCCAGCCATGTCTTGCTTAGTCAAAAAGGGAAAAAATAAAAAATAAAAAAAAAGATTTATCTGAAGTAATTTTTTTTTTGCATTTTTACACCATTTGAAAAAATTTTTTTCAAAATTCCCAGCTGTTTATATAAAGTTACTGAAAAAAAAAATTCTTAACATTCAATATGTTTTATTGATGCCACGTTTTATACTTTTCAAAACCCTGTGAAATAGATGGAGTGGGCCCAGCTTTTCTTATCCCCATTTCATATAAAAGGAAAGTTAGTGATATGGCCAACTCCAGTTTTCTGACATGTTACTTCCCTAACTATGTTCTCTGCCATCCATTAACCCTGGCCTCCTTGCTGTTCCTGCCACAAGACACTCCATGTTTGGACTCTGGGTATTTTTGCTGGCTGGAATTCTTCCCCTGCTCATCTCTACCTCCTGGCTTCCTTGGCTTCTTTGAATTGCCAGCTAAAACTCCACCTACTATAAGAGGTCTTTCCCAATCCTTCTTAATGCCACTGCCTTCCCTGTTATTTTCTCCAACTTATTATACATATATGTACATATATGTATATAGAGAGATAGATAAAAATTTGTTATCATTTGTGCATATGTACGTATATATGTATCTTTTTTGTACATAATTGTCTCCACCAGGAGACTGTGAGCTACTGAAGAGAACAGACTTTTGTCTTTCTTTGTATCCCTATCTGTGTGCATAGTCACTGTCTCACAATAGCTGCTTTAATGCTTATTGACTGTATAGCTACTTTTCCATATAATAAGATGATAGATTATAGCTCCAAAGAAAAATATGAAAGTAAAGAAATAAAATAGAGTGATTGGGACTACTATGGTTTCATTTAAGCTGTTCACATAATAAGTGCCATTGTCTCAGTTTTACCAAAGACTTTCTAGTTCAGTAGACTTCTAAGGTACCTGGGGACTGAATATCTTTTCATTTTTTTAAAATTTCTTTTTTTATCCCTTGAAAAATATGAAATTCAAAGTTAATCATTCAAAAACTTGGAAATCCAACTAAACATGCTTTGATCTAGCATTTTTTCCATGAGGATGTCAAGATAATTTGTCAAAAGTTTTACTAAAATGGAGGCCAACTGAGTTCCTCTAATCTACAGTCTACTAAGCCAGAATATCAGGATTAAAAATGACTTTAATCTCTCATGACTGTGAGTATAAGCTGATCAACATGAAGCCATGTTGACCATGTGAGATCATTGCTTTCTTTTCTACATACCTATTTTCCATATTGACCTTACTCTAAGAAATCCTAAAGTCCAGGACAGCTATCTTCAGTGACCATACCAGGAAGGGTTTTAGAATCACAGAATCTCAAATTCGAAAGACATCTCCCATACCATCTAGTCCAATGCATACACAAATAAGAGACCATGTAACAACTGACTATCCCCACTCATTCATGAAGAGCTGTAGTGACAGGAGGACAGAGAATAAATCTCATTAGAATCATCGAAGAGGTAGGAGAAACTCAAAAGATACTCTAGCCCAGCCCAGTCCTTCTTCCCCTCTTTATACACCCTGTCCATTTTAAATATTACAAAGCAGATTCCTAGAGTTAAGAAACTTGCCAAAATGATACAGTACTGAAAAACAGTTGGGACCTCTTACACCTAGATGATTCCTCACCATTCCTACTCCTTTGGCCAAAAAAAGCTGGTTTTATGCCCCAACTAGACATCTCATTTTCAGAGCACTCTTTTCTTGTATTCTGGTAGAGAAGAAATCACTGCATTTGTAGCCATGTAGCTGAAGTTCCAATCCTAGCTGTTTACTTACTCGTTTTGCAACCTTAGGTAACTCATTTCTATCATCATACCTCAGTTTGCTCATCCATAAAACACTCGACTTGTCCTAGATGATCTCCAAGGTGGCTTCTGGCTCCAAATCTTACTATACCACTGCATTGCAACTTCTTTCCCTCTTCTCTAACACCTGACTTATTTATGGCTCTGCTCTGAGAAATCCAGAACAAACACACCAGTTACTTATTGGGGAAGAAGCCATCATGGTTTGATTAATCAACAAGCATCTATTGAGTGCCTACTATGTGTCAAGCACAGTGCTGGCCACAGGAGATGGAGACAAAAATTTAATATGTTCTGTTTTCAAGAAGCTCACATTTCATCAGTGGAAGGAATGCAAGGTATGATCTGAAGTACTCAGTTCAATGAGTTCTTTAGCCATCCACTACCTAGGTGACAAAAACATCAACCATAACAACAGAGTTTATATAGCACTTGGTTTGCAAAGCACTTTTTATGTGTTAACTCATATGATGCCCTTCAATAACCCTGTGAGGTAGATGCCATTGTGTTTCATGGTTTTCAGTATTCTTGAACTTTCCCTGCTATATAGTCTGCAATCCCCCATACGTACTCTGGCCTCTTTTCTTTTTCTTTCATAAAACGGTCCATCTCTTCCTGACTCTGGCTGTTCTCATTGGTGGTCCTCTAAGCTTAGAATGCTCCCTTCCTTATCTGCAGCTCCTGGCTTCCTTGACCTCCTTCAAGTTTCAACTCAAGGCCTACCTTCTACAAGAAGCCTTTCCTAATCCTCCTTACTCTTTTTGAGTGCCCTTCTTCTGAGACTTCCCCCAAGTGAAGCCTGTAGAGATCCTGTTTGGACATAATTGTTTGCAGGTCCTCTCCCCAATTAGACTATGAGCTCCTTGAGACCAGGAACTATGTTTTGCCTTTCTGTATGTCTCCAGAGCTTATCCTAGTGCTTGACATATGCTTAACCAATGAGTGTTGACTTGACTGATAAGGAAACTGAAGCAGAAAGGTGTTTTTTAAAATGACTTGCTCAGCAAATGACACACCTAGCAAGTATATGAGGCTGTCAAGTCTAGTGCTCCATGCATTGCGACACCCAGCTGCCTCATGAGTGAGACACCATTTCAAAAGAAAATCAGATACATATTGATATATACTGTTCTAGGCATCACAGGGGAGATGAAAATATCTGCTAAAATACTGCAAATATTATCTGCTATTGGCCAGAATATGACAACTCATTTAATTTTTAATTTTGTATCTTACTTCATTCATGTCTATATGGAATGGCAGGAAACATGGTCAAGGGGTCCTGTTGTTGCATCTATTGTTTTCCAGATAATGTTAGCCGATTTTGGCTTCTGTGCCCAACTTTCAGCACGAGTCCCAAAGAGTTCATCATTTATTGGGACTCTGTACTGGATGGCACCAGAGGTTATAGGAAGACTACCATATGGAAAGGAGCTAAGGAAAAGAAAAACCATCCTTTCTGCAATCATGAAATACATGAAAGCAAGTGTACATATCATAAGGCCAGGAAGATGGTGAGATCTCAATATATTTATATACATAACTACATAGGCATATACACAAAACATATATAAATATATGCAGAGAATATGTACATTTATATGTACATGTGTTTATGTACATTATACAGGTAAATGTATGCATATATTTATATGGATATACCTATCTCTATCTATCTATATACATACACATGAAAAGTACACATAGACATATATGATGATGTCTTCAGAGCCACAGAAGGAAACTTTTTCTCACTCATTCCATTATTCTACAGTTATATGTCTTATACTTTTCCTTCCAAATTTAAGAAAAAATGGCATTACTACCCAGTCATATCATTTACTTTATTTAGAAAGGCAACATAGCATAACTGACAGAGCATGAGAATTGTAGTCAGGGGGAAGTGGGTTGAAATCCTTCCTCAAACTCTTGCTGGTTGTATGACCCTGGGTAATTCACTTCACCCTTAATCTCTCTGTACTTCAATTTGCTCATCTTGAAAATGGAGGGGAGGATGTGTTAGGAGAGACAGAGCATCAGCCTCTAAAATTCCAAACATATTTAAATCTTGGATCCTAGGGTCATAATTGAATCTGAATTATGTTTAGCTCTCTTCTAAAATTTGAATCTACCCTCAAAAGATAAAAAATATGTATCTCAGTTATTAAGTTTTACTTAAAGAGTTGTCCAGTTTCCTTAAGGAGTCTACTCTAAATGAATTAGCGACCATTGTCATGTATAAAATCCAGTATTTTCCCTATTGAGGATTCAGCCTCATTACATAGCTGCAGACTAGAAGTAAAGGTGTAGCGAGAATTACTGAAATGAGCAAATTGCCTGAATGAAACCTGAGGACGTGTGTATATAGTGCAGCTTGTGTAACCTTGGATGATTACTCAATTCAATTTTTTTCATCTTGGCCCTGAGATTAAAAACTGTAAATACAGGCCATTGAATAGGGTATAATAGGAATATATCGAGTAGATAAGGTGTGGCAGTAATTGGAAATTGATACTGTGGTTATTTCATTCCCATTGTTCAGACTTCCTTTTCTTTAACCAGAAATCATTGGGCATCATCTGCCTATTCTTCTCCCTGTACCCTGAAACTGGATTTATAAAGCCAAATGCTGCACATTCTGGTTTTAAAAGACAACACACAACCAAAAGATTCCTAAAAGGGAAAGTTTTGCCAAAATAGTTGAACTTCTGGGTTTTTTCTTTTTAACTTCCTTATCTATCATTAATTTGTATTGGAAACTTTTATTTTTAACAATACAACCAAGTACATTTTGTTTATATCTTGGCAGCAGGTAGTGGGGGAATGGTCTATTCTTTTGGTTTGATTGGTATAGGGGCCTTCCAATGAGGAAATTCTCTCTCCTGATATAGACCTGTGAGTACTGTGTACTTTTGCACAGTTCCCTGAGACATTAAGTGAATTGCCCAGACTCACAAAGCTAGCATATGTAAGAGATGATCCTCAGGATTTCCTTACTCTGAAGGAAGTTCTCTATCCACTATAACATGCCATGTTGCCTCTCCTACTATGTTAACAGAATACAATTTCCCCTGTTGCTCAACATTTAAGTTGTTTTTCAGTCTTGGTAATCACACATACTGCTGATGTGCAAATCCTCCAACAGACAGTTCTTTTTCATTTTGTTTTTTGCTGATATTTTCAGGTTCTATTCCTAACAATGGCATTATGAGTTCAAAGGCTAGGATTGCTTTTGAAATGGTTAATGTGCACTGCTACGTTGCTCTCCAAAATGATTCTACAATGTACTCCACAACCCTGCCAGCATTGAGTTTTGATGCTCTGAATTATTTTTGCTTAGATGGTGATTATGAGGTAGTACCTCAAAGTTCCTTGTAATGTACGTCTCTTCAGTAGTAAGACTGAGATTTCCCAAGGAATAATTCACAATTTTGTATGTCATCTTTTGAATATTATCTTTTCATATCCTTTGACTATCATCCATCTAAACCTAAGGGGGAAAAAAGTATCAGAAATGTATTCTTTAGAATGTGACACTATTTCAATTTGACTTTCAGTCTACTAAGTATAAGTATAAGTATAAGTATAAGTATCCTATTGTTTCATCTTCACGTAAAGCATTTTAAACACCATTTTTCTTAAGTAGAGAGTTTGAAGTGTTCGGTTATTTTGACAACCTCTTTTAATTTGTTGAAGACTTACTGTCAGCCAGCTGCAGGGGGTAAAAAAGGTTCTAATGAAAGCAATAAACTCTGGAATGATAATTTGTACATTTGCTTTGGTAGAATATTATTGATGAGCTCTACTTCCTTACAAGGCCAACCAGAAACCTTCATGAGAAATTAGAATTGTTTTCTTTAGGATAAACTGATACTTAAATTAAACCTCTGTCTAGAAATATATGCTTTCAAAAATCTCCCTCAGTTTATTATTGATGAATCATTTGTGAATTACTTGATTTCTGTAGGCAAAATAAGTACTTCAGAATGACTATTTCCCCCTCAATAGTAATCTATCAGCTTGATAAAACAGGTGGATATCTGGTCCATGGACATAGTAGTCATCGAAATGATTGATGGACAACCTCCATATTTTAATGAGACCCCATACCAGGCAATCCATAAAATCTATGACAGCTTGCCTCCAAGAATGAAGACCCTATACAAGGTGATGATGAGTCCGTTTTATTCAATATCAAAAAATTATTAACTAATATGCGACATTGGCATTCTGGGACCAGGGATATTGCATGTAAGCAGTTATCAACTACTCTATTTATTTCAACTTGAAATGGATCTATTGATTAGGAGAGAATCCTAGAATCTTAGGAGGGGCCTTAGAGATTTTGTAGCTGTACCTGAAGTATGAATACTCCTTTAAGTTCCTTTTTTTGCATGTGTTACTATTATAAAACATTCTATTTTTTTGCTTGTTTGAATTGATGGTTCCAGGATAAATTATTTCTAGTAATGGAAATCAATGTTCTTTTGACTTCCATGTTCCCATTAGGGTTATTTCTTAGAATTAGACTAAGTTAGCTTTCTGATGACATATTTGAGAAACCAACTGACAAACCTCAGATAATTATCTATGAAAAACCCGTATAACAGAAAGGAAAGAAATACAAATATTAGAGATAGAAGAAAGTCCTAGGCTAGAATCCTGGCTCAGGAAATTACTAGAGATCTTGGTCTGGTGACTTATCCCCCTCAGCCTGTTTCTTTATACATAAAATGGTGATAATAATCAATTGATTACCTGTCTCATGAGGTAGTTGTCTGAATCACATTAGATAATATAGGCAATGGATTTTTCTTACCCAAAAAGACTTTGTCAAAGTAAATTGTTGTTGGGGTATGATGATTTATATTTTCTTATTTGTGATGCCTGTGTGATATTACAGCTTTCATCAGTGCTTCAAGACTTCCTACATTCTATATTGGTAAGGGAACCCTCCCAGAGAGCAACAGCAGAAGATCTCATGGAACAACCATTTTTGGAACTAGCAGGCCCACCTGCTTGCATGATACCTCTCCTAAAAACACATAGGCACCTCTAACAGGTGGGCACTGTACTTCGAGATCTGAAGGAGGATTTCCCAGGTGAGATTTGGGGACAGCATGAAAACCATGGGGAAGTCTAAAAACCTGTCATTTCCATTATTTTTTTGAGCCCTTCAGCCAGCAAACCTGAAAGACTTCAGATAGAGATTTCTTTTTTGAAAAGGTAATAACACATTGCACATGTAGGGTAAGCCACAGTAGTTTGCTCCAAGAGAAAACGCTTTCTTAATTACTTCAAGTACTGCTGCAAATATGAACTTAGTTTTTGGAAAAAAAAACACTATCTCTGGTTACTCTAGGTAACATTAAGGAGGTTCTCTAATTAATGGGTTTCTAATTATATTTATATAGCTATATTGAAAGAACAAAGAATTAAGTATAAGATTACCTAATGTGGTTTGAATATCCCTGTTTTTGTAAACAGAAAGAGATTGTGGCAAATAGGATTACAATTTTCATAAAAGTCAGCAAAAAATATGTGTTTATGCAAACATACATATATTTATGTAACAACTATGTGAAATTTTAAAATCCAAAGCACAAATGCTAGCAAACTACAGGCCCAGAATTTCAAGGGAAAAACTGTCTGCCTCAAACCACAAGATACAGATGTTTTTTAACAAATCTTTTTAATAACCAGAAGAACTGCTAATAACCTTTGTGTAAAACAGTAAATTTTGGATTCCAAACATTTTCAACAGTGTAATAAACATTTTTGTGTAATTTTCTTATCCATAGATTTTTTGAAAGGATTCACTGATTTTACGGAACTTGTCCTGAAGTTGTAGCTTAAGAGGTTTTCTGAGCACCAACTACTGACAGAAAGAAAGCTGCATTAGCAAAGACAAAGAAATGTTTGCATTTTCCCCATTTCGCTTATGGGAGGCTGAACTAATTTGCTAAATGAGAGGACTCTTTGAGCAGGAAGGAAATATCCGTTCATGATCTTGCAGAAGGAAAGTGAACAATAATCAGTAACTAATGAAAGAATACCTCTTAGCACTTGTGATTACCAGCTATCACATAGTCAGCTAGAAGAGGCAATATGTGATATTTTGCTCTAGAACAGAGATTCAGATGCTCTCAACCTTACACAGATCATGAGTACACAGATTACATAGTACAACCTTACACAGATTCATGAGTAAGGAGAATTTCCTCAAGGGAATACATTAGAAAAGTCATTACAGACAAGTAAATAAACTGGTTTGAGCTATTACCTATCTACAGCTGTCGTGTTTCTTTTGAGAAAATAATTCTATAAAACTAATTAGTTGCAAAAGGTAAAGCTATCTAGAAAGTATGAGTTTGGTTCTTTTTTGGATCAAATACAGGGTATATATGTGTTAGAGTGTGAGATTTAAGAAGATGTGGGTTTGAATGTTGCCTCTCATGTTTACTCACTGTCTGAAGATGCAGAAGTAAATTAACATCTCTGAGGCTCAGTTTCCTCCTCTGTAAAATAAAGGAGCTCTAAGATCCCTTCTAGCTCAAAATCGGTGATCCTCTGATTCAAAGACAAAATGATTTCTTACTCTGAAAGAGGACTGAAACACAAGCACTTTGTAAACCTGGTTCAAAGACAGAGGTGCCAATCCCTCTTACCTGTAGGGGTGTATTTATACAAATCCATGCACAGACACTTCACTGGCAAGAGTCACAAAACCATTCTCTAAAATTGTAGAACACAGTGTTATGCTGCTCCATATTTAAGGTTTGTATAGCCAAACCTGTGTGTCATTATGACCACACCCTAAGATTTAGCCTTTAGGTCGAGAGACCATCTGGCTCATCCCCTTTCCTTCTGGCAGGTAAAGTATGCCTTATGATACAGCCAAAAGTAGTCTAAAAACTTGTAGATGAGACCTAGGATGGAATTCTAATGTTTATATTTACCAACTCTGTGACCTAATCTTTCTGACCTTCAATTTCCTGAAATGTGGACATAAACCTGCTCATAATGAGAAATAGCTTGATGTAGTGGTTAGAGCCCTGAACTTAAGTCAGAAAAAGCTAAATTCACATCTGATCTCATGTAATTATTAGCTGTGCAAGATTGGACAAGTCACGTAGTGGTCTCTACCTCTACCTTACAAGGTTGGCAAATGGTATTTGATGCAGAAGAATGATAAGTGACAGAAGCTAACTAGAGATGGTCATTTGACAGATAATCGCAAATGGTGCTAAATCACAGCCTCTCACAGAACCCACCTGTGCTGCTTCCTAAAGCCAGTGGTGACTGGGACAAGAAACTAGAAAAGCAGGAATTCCTTGGGGTTCAGTTCTTCCTATTCAGGCTGGGTCCCCCCACACAGACCTTTTTGATGAGAGTCATTCAAAATTATCAGCCAAAACGTTTCTTATGTGCCAAGAAATAATTCTAGGTTCTAGAGATAAAATGGCAAAAGTAAAATACCTTGAGTTGTGCTCAAAGAGCTTACATCCCAACCACACACATTTGTTGAGTCAGCCTATATGAAAAGAAATCATCTTCGTTGTGGCCCACTGTATTATAATTTTACCCAGTGCTTTCATGGAAAATTTCAGGTTGCTTTTGCTTGTTCTAGGACATCTACTGTGACAGACAATGAAAGATAATACTTGAACAATTGTTTACTTTAGCTTCAGCTTATAGAATGCCCTTCACGAGTATTGACTGTTTTTTTTTGTTTTTTGGTTTTTTTATCAGCACAACAGTTGTGGTGTAAGTAAAGCCAAAGAATATCATTTTTGCACTAGGGTCATTTTATCCTTTTACAATTTATGGCACTTAGCTTCTGGGTTTCACTGCTGCTTAATGATTGTTCAGCTCTTCCTTTAGTAACCCCCTATTTCATTCCCCACAGTTACTGCTCAAACCCTCAAATGCTCAACCATAACCCCATTCTGATGCTCACAGATTAGATGATTCCTACTTAGGAATGAGGTAGGGAACCAGTTGCCCTCTAGGTCCTTAAGCACAACCTTCTGATTGAATCCAAAATTTACAGAGCAAAACCTTGCATTTTTATTAATACATTTTCATTCACCTTTTATATTTTTGTTTTATTTTTTAAATGAATGTATTTAAAATGTCAAAGAACAAAATAAGTTGCAATGAAATGATCCTCCCAGGTTGACTGCCCCAATTAGAACGTTAGTAAGCCATCAGGGCTAAACTGAAGGCTGCTACACTCGCTATTTAGTTCCAACTCTCTCCGCCTCCCTATTCCCGCAACTGGTGCCACTACCACATCAGGCTGGTTGATGAGAGTTTATGGGTGTCGAGTATGCCAGTCTGTTATCAGCTTTAGACAAAGGTACACTGTGTTTCTGATTGAAGTGGAATGTGTGAATGGTTGCACAGCTTGACAGTATTTTTTAATTCCGTTTGCTTAACAGCCCATCATGTCAAAGAAGACCAAGAGAATGCTGAAAAAAGAAAAAAGATTTTTTTAATGAGGATTGGGAATTGCAATATAATCTTGTTTCTGCTAAAAGATAAGACTTGCTTACTTTGTGATACTGCAATATTAACATTCAAGAAATTCAATGCTCGGGGTGGAGCCAAGATGGCAGAGTGAAAGCAGTGACTTGCTTGAGCTTTCCCCCAAACCCCTCCAAATACTCATAAAAAATGGCTCTAAACAAATTCTGAAGCTACAGAACCCACAAAAAGACAGAGTGAAACAAATTTCCAGCCCAAGACAACCTGGATGATTGATCAGAAAGGTGTATTGCGCAGGGCTGGGAGCGGAGTGCAGCCAGGCGTGGGCGCGCAGGCCCGAACCTGCAGCAGGCCTCAGAGGACTGAAATCGCGGCCAGCTGTGGAGGTTTCCAGACTCCTCAATCCACGAATGCCAAAGACAACTTAGAAGGTCAGTGGGAAAAGTCTGTTTCTGTCGGTGGTCAGAGAGGAAGGCGGGTCTCAGCTCCATTCCCCAAGAGTGGGCCCTGGGTGGGGCAGCTGCTTGCTGAGCTTCCGGCCCATAGACTGAGGGGGAATCCAGTGGCTGATCAGAGAGGGATTACAGGGCTCTCTTTGCCAGTGGTGAGGCAGGAATCTCTTGCTTTGCCTGTGTTTGGATCTGGGCCACAGTTCTGGGCAGCGGTGCTGTGGTGAGGAGGAGCGCAGGTGTGGTAGAGCTTGCAGTGGCTGTGGAGGGGAGCCCCTCCTCACAGTTACAGGACAGAAAGGAGTACTTGAAGTCACAGGCCAGGAAAGGAGTAAACACCTCGCCCCTTATCATACCACCTTGGAAGAACTGAAAATTTACAGGTCCCTACAAGTATCTCTGAAAACAGCTGTACAAACCCCAGAAGCTTGGGACAGTATATTCTCCACATTGGAAGCAGGCTCTTACCTTTTTTTTTTTTTCCATATGCTTTTGAGTTGAAAATTTTTTTCTCCCTTTTTCTTCCCCCCCCCAAGATGGCACACAATCTGACAGAGGCTTTACATTTACATACCCATTAAACATATTTTCACATTAGTGAAGTTGTAAGTAAAAATTAAAACCAATAGGAGGAACTATCAGAAAGATGAAACAAAACTCAACTGAAGGTAAAAATAAGTGAGAGCGATTTGACTTCCATAGTTCTTTCTTTGAATGTGGACAGCATTGTCCATCCCGAGGCCTCTGGAGTTGTCTTAGATCCTCATAATGCTAAGAAGGGTTCAGTTTAACATTCTTAGTCATTGCATAACATGGCTGCTATTGTATACAAAGTCCTCTTGGTTCTGCTCACTTCACTCAGCATCAGACCATATAAATCTTCCCAGGTTTTTCTGAAGTCAGCCTGTTCATCATTTCTTATAGAACAATAGTATTCCATTACATTCATATACCACAACTTGATCAGCCATTCCCCAATTGATGGGCAACCTCTCAATTTCCAATTCTTTGCCACCACAAAAAGAGCAAGCAGACTCTTACCTTAACAAAGAGTTTAAAACTCAAGTAATTGGCCAGGATCATGAGCAAGCAGCGCAAAAAGAGTCAGACTATATTATCTTACTTTGGTGACAAAGAAGACAACAAAGTCAAAGCTCCTACATCCAAAGCCTCCAAGAAAAATATGAATCAGTCCCAGGCTTTGGAAGAGCTCAAAAGGAATTTTGAGAAGCGAGTAAGGGAAGTAGATGAAAAACTGGGAAGAGAAATGAGAATGATGCAAGAAAATCATAAGAAACAAGTCAACAGCTTGCTAAAGGAGACCCAAAAAAAATACTGAAGAAAATAACACCTTAAAAAATAGCCCAACCCAAATGGCAAAAGAGGCCCAAAAAGCCAATGAGGAGAAAAATGCCCTAAAAAGCAAAATTGGCAAAGATTACTAAAGAAAATACTTCCTTAAAAATTAGAATACAGCAATTGGAAGCTAGTGACTTTATAAGAAATCAAGACACTGTAAAACAAACCCAAAAGAATGAAAAATGAGAAAACAATGTGAAATATCTCATTGGAAAAAAACTGACCTGGAAAATAGATCCAGGGGAGAGAATTTAATTATTGGACTATCTGAAAGCCATGATCAAAAAAAGAGCCTAGACATCATCTTTTATCAAGGAAAACTGCCCTGATATATTAGAACCAGAGGGCAAAATAGAAATTGAAAGAATCCACAGATCTCCTCCTGAAAGAGATCCCCAAAGGAAAACTCCTGTGAATATTATAGCCAAATTCCAGAGTTCCCAGGTCAAGGAGAAAATATTACAAGCTGCCAGAAGGAAACAATTCAAGTACTGTGGGAACACAATCAGGATAACACAAGATTTAGCAGCTTCTACATTAAAGGACCGCAGGGCATGGAATATAATATTCCTGAGGGCAAAAGAGATAGGATTACAACCAAGAATCACCTACCCAGCAAAACTGAGTATAATCCTTCAGGGGAAAAAATGGTCATTCAGTGAAATAGAGGACTTTCAAGCATTCCTGATGAAAAGACCAGAGCTGAACAGAAAATCTGACTTTCAAATACAGGACTCAAGTGGAACATGAAGAGGTAAACAGGAAAGAGAAATCATAACAGACTTATTAAGACTGAACTGTTTACATTCCTGCATGGAAAGATGATATTTATAACTCATGAGACCTTTGTCAGTATTAGGGTAGTTGGAAGAAAAAAATTACATGTATTATATATAGATAAATAGATAGAGGGCACAGGGTAAGTTGAAGATTAAGGGGTCACATCTGGAGAATAAAATTAAGGGATGAGAGAAGATTATACTCAGAGAAGAAGAAACGGAGAGGTAGAATGGGGTAAATTATCTCACAAAAAAAACAGAAAAGTCTCTTACAGTGGAGGGAAACGGGGAAGGTGAGAGGGAATGAGTGAATCTTATTCTTATAGGATTTGGCTTAAGGAGGGAATAACATACACATTCAATTGGGTATGGAAATCTGTCTTACCCTACAGGAAAATAGGGGGAGAAGGGGACAAGAGAGCAGGAGGATGATAGAGAGGAGGGCAGATTGGGAAAGGGTGTAATCAGAAGTAAATACTTCTGAGGAGGGACAGGGTCAAAAGAAAGAATAGAATAAATGGGAGGGCAGGATAAGATTAAGGGAAATAGAGTTAGTTTTTCACAACATGTCCACTATGGGCGTGTTTTGCATAACTGCACATGTACAACCTATATTGAGTTGCTTGCCTTTTCAATGAGGGTGGGTGGAGAGGGAGGAAGAGAGAAAATTCGAAACCTAAAGTTTTAAAAACATATGTTTAAAAAAATGTTTTCACATGCTACTGGGAAATAAGAAATACAGGAAATGGGGTACAGAAGTCTATCCTGCACACTACAGGAAAATAGAATGGGAAGGGCATAAGGGAAGGGGGGAGAGATAGGAGAGAGGACAGACTAGGGGAAGGGATATTCAGAATGCATGCCATCTTGGCGTGGGGGGAGGGGTGAGAGGGGGTAAAAATTGGGAATTCAAAAACTTGTGGAAGTGAATGTTGAAAACTAAAAATAAATAAATTTATATTAAAAATAATAATAATAATAAAAAGAAATTCAATGCTCATCAGCATAATACTCATAAGAACCACAAATATTTTCAATTAGAGGGAGAGGGCACCAAAGCTTGTATTACAGAAATTAAAAGATGTAAAGCAAAAGCAAAGACAATTCTCGCAAGCAGCAAGAACACCTGGAAATAATGCCACTGAAGCAACTTATTAAGTAGCTTATACACCCGGGGAAAAAAGGGAAGCCATTCAGTGAGGTAGAAATTGTGAAAGAATATATTGTCGAAGTTGTAGGATGCTTAGGCCCAATAACGTTTCAAAGTACAAACAACTGCCTCTTTCAAGGACAACCATAACTGACTAGCAGCATGAATTAGCCTTCAACTTAAAGGAACAACTTCATGCAATACTTCAAAAAGAAAATATATATTATTCAATCCCTTTGGATCAATCAACTGATACTACTGATTCGGTGCAGGTTATATACTTCATTTGGCTCCTAACAGAAGATTTTCACTGCTACAATGAGCTACTTGCTTTGGGCACTCTTGCCAACAGAACATGGGGAATGGATATATGCAAATCATTTGAAGAATATGCAGCTGTTACAGACCTATAAACTGGAGAATACAATGAAAGGTTCACTGACTTTGAGAATCATGACATCACACTCAAATTAGCATTTCAGCTTCATCTAGTTGATCTCACCAAGGCACTGAAAGAACTACAGATGGAATTGACTGAGTGCTCAGTAGATGACATTTTAAAGTCATCCTCTGAGGCTAAGAAAGATCCAATTGAAATATGGCAAAAATGCAGCGGAATACCCACACCTTTGGCAACATGCCCGAAAAATGCTTTCTTGCTTTTCAGCCACTTCTTTCTGGGAATGTACATTCTCCTACCTAACCCAAATCAAGATGCCCTGAAGGTCACAAATGACTGATACCCATTTGGAGCATCAACTGAAACTGAGGACCTCCATGCTGCAACTAAATATTCAAATGCTTTCCAACAAAAAGCAGACACAACCAAGTCATTAAAAGGTTAGTTCACTTTAAAATTAACAAATACTTTTTTTTTTAAATGAAGTACATAGGACTTAGATTTTTACAAACTAATCTACGTTTTGAAGTATCTATTTGAAGTCTCTTGAATGTAGCCTTATTTGATTACACCTAAATATTATTGCGGCCTTTTAACATGAAAAGTTCCCCACTGCTGACTGAGGAGGTGGAGGCCAGCTCCACTTCCGTCAGTCCTCAGCCTCTGTCAGTGTTATCACCCATATTCTCTCTTCCCAGAACTATCCTTACTCTGAATCCTCCAGATCCCACATCCCAACCTGCCTGCCAGATATCTCTACTTGTCTACTGATGAACACATTAAACACAACATGTACAAAACCAAACGTTATCTTCTGCCCTAACCAATCCAGACCAGTCTCCCGTAG